CAGCCCATCCCAGTTCACCACAACTCCACCTACCACAGCCCCTGCCTCGACTTCCAAATACCCAGATCTTACCCCAATCTTGCCACAACATCCACTTGGCAGTGGCCAACATCAGACAGTCCCTCACAAACAAGAGCTAGGAGTTTGATTGACACAGGATGAGGGTATAAAGCAATTAATTTGACACCTCCTTCTAGGGTCCTGTGATGAATCAGCATGGATTCAATTAAAATTATGTGCCATGGCAGAGAACAGCAAAAACAGGAGTTTGGAGTTGTTAACCAGGTGTTTAGGGCAGTCACACCAATTATCAGTCAAGTCTGGACTATATTAAGCAGATATTTCTGAATTAATGAAAAAGGATATGCATTCTGTGGTAACCAAGTACAGAGTATGCTGGAGTCCTAGGCTTACAAGGAATAGGAGCAATTTATGCTAGTAAACTCACAGGGGAGATAAGGGGTAAAGATTAGGGCAGAGAGTGGACAGTCTCTTCTAGGTATGGTTAGAACTCAGAAACAGGATGTTTGGCACAACAACTGACTATAGAACTGGTTTGAGCCAATTTAGGCTGCATTAAGCAGGGTTTATGGTACATAGCTCAGCAGGGAAACTCTGAAGGTTTCTGGGATTAAGCAAGACAATTGTAGCAGCCATGTTGTCTGTTACATGTTGTCAGTCTGGGGGACAAGGTGGCGCAAGAAAAACAGATAGGTTAGCATTAGGGCAATTATCATAATCGTATTCCTGCTCTTTTTTGTTAAATGTAGCCAGAAGGCTTGCCACTGACCAAGGAGGTATAACTTGATGAAACATAATCTTACTGAGAACTGTAGATCTTGCCCTTTCACAGATGGATATAAGGCACTTAATGAGATAAGAAACAAAAAAACAAAAAGGAATAGAAGGCCAAGAAGTGAAAGCAAAACAGAATAGAGAAATGAACCCCAGTAAGCAGGAAGCCACCCAAAGAAATCACCTTTTCAGTCTCTAAGGTAGAACAATGAAGGCTTTTCTTTTGGAAGACTTATGTCCCATTGGATCTTGCTGGAATGACTGACATAAAAACAACACTTTTCCCCAGTGTAGGCACAGGCTCATCCCGAGCAGCCAAGAAGGCAACTAGGACCCTTCAGTTCCAGAGGACATCATTGACTGGTGATGGAACTTGAACGTTAAGATGCAAGATGTCCTGGGAATTGATGTTGAAGGATATAACCAGTTCAGAGAAGATGTTATGAACAGCAGATTCTAATGAAATAACCTGAACCGAGGGACAATGGCACATGGAATGTTCCACTATCTATTTTTAAGGTCCAGCATTATGTGCAAGTTTTCCAATGGGATAATTGGAGCTTCTTTTACTTTTTACATTTATTCAAGGTAATTTACATTCTCTGTGAAGGCATAGATCACGTGATGTTCTCACTGGTTTCTACTGTGCACTCCATCCCTCATGAGCAGCACATACAATCTTTCCAATAATAACCAAGTTCCCTAAGTGGTGGATGAGTCAGAAACATGGAAGAAGCAGGGGAGCCTCCTAATGAGTTGCATTAGACACACAATCTAAAACAGCGATACAAGAACAAGCAGGGAAACTGTTGCCTGCAACAAGTGAGGCATCTCACGGGAGAGCGCGAAATGAAGAAATGTGGGCCAGGCGGGTCAATGAAGACTGAGCAGTTTATTCATCTGAGGGTCACAGTATATATAGGCAAAATTACATAGTTTCAAAGAATCATTCCCATGCCCTAATACGTGACTGCTATTGTTATCAGGGTTCCTGCCTGTTATCAGGGTTAAAGGATCAGGCAGAATGTTTTGAGAACCTCCTCTTGGATGGGAGAATGGTGAGCCAACATCCTGAGAATGTGAGCCTTTGAGGGCAAGAACAGGCAAGAGTTAAACTCTGTCCTGGATTCTTCAGCTCAAATTGGACTCCTCAGAGCTGGCCCTCTACATTTCCCCCTTTTTGTTTTGCAAGTAACTTGAAGCGATGAACATCTGTATCCAAAGATTTGAACCATGATTTGATCAGTGCAGTCGTACAAGGAAGAATAAAACATAATATGACAATGAATACTGTCCATAAAAGTAAATGGAGCAGTAACGCAGGTATATTTCTAAATACATTAGTAGCATCCAATCTGTCCAAAATTTCTTGGGCTAGGTTTTGAGGACGTGCCCCTGGGAAGTGACTGTCAGCAATATCATGAGTAATATTAGTCAGGAAAGATAAATCAGCCGTAAAACTGCTATTATGCCAAATACCTTTTAAATGATTTCTAATCATATCCCACTTTACTATGCTTGAATTATAAGGCAGTGGTGTAACACACACCATGGTAAAGCGATAATCACATTTTAATGTAGCTCGAAATTCCATCTCTGCAAGCTCATCTCCAATAAATTCTACAGAATCTTTTAAAGCATCTAATTTTTGTTGAAAATGTACATCTATCTCTCCTTGTTTCTGGAGTGCTAATGATACATTCTGAGCCAATGCTTTGGTATATTGTGCCTCCTGTAGTTGTTGTGTAAATGTATCAAATGACACTGACGATGCAATGATAGATGAAATGAGTGACACCAAAGATCCAATTCCCCATATCACACACTCTGTGCATCGTTTCTTTCCCAGAGTAACTCCCTGTTCTAAATAGTAAAATGTTTGATCTGTGGGGGCCAAAAACCATCTCTCGTTCACTTGTGTAGGGAATACAGAATACTGTGGTCTTTCCAAAATCATAGCTGTATATTCCCATGTTCCATGTTTGGATTGCAGACATAGATTTACAGAACAATTTTTGCATTTAATCAAGTAATACCCATCAGATGTTTTGGAGATGTTAGGTCTCCCTAAAAAAATGCCTGATGTTTTGGCAAGCAAGCAGTTAATGTCGTCTCATTGTACTTATGGACCACGTTTCTTTCACTGGGGTTAGCAGCGTGTATATATATTGTGTCAAAAGCCGCCATTGCTAACCAAATTTCTTCCTGATATACACCTTGTTGACTGACAATCCCTGGCATAATCCACCCCTGTGTAGCTCCCTTCTCATTATGCTCTAGCTTATTCCAAACTTCAAATCTCTCCCAGCTGTAATTGGCTATTCCTCTATACGGTGTGTGACATTTTATCCAAGGTGGAACTTTGTGCCATTCTCTAACTACCGAGACATTAAAACAATGTGGCCAAGGGGAGAAATGAATTGGCTTCTCTACTGACTCGACAATTTTTATCCCAAACATAGATATGTTCCATACCACTCCTTGTGGAGCCACTTGAGCAGAGAGTGATATTCTCCAACTTAATACAGTAATTTATAGAAGTTACATTTATCCCAAAACATATTGGGGGTGTGCCAGTTTTCCCTTTAAAGTTATACCCTGTAACATCTTTCATTCCTTTAATCCCCGAATCCCCATGTCCAAAAATTTCTGCTGCTTTTCCTATAGGTATAACGTTGGTAACCTTGTCCTCCCATGTAAGCAATCTCAGCCATGGGGGATTGTTGACATATATCCAAAGCTGTAAAGTCTTTGCCTCAAGAGTGGTCAATTGCAGCATCATCAACATCTGTAATAATGTCGTTGTTGTCCTTCTCTGCCGCCTTGGGCATCCCTTCCTTGATATTTTTTCCTTTCGTATGTCCTGTAACTGAAGCCTCTGGAGTCTCTGGGTCAGCTCTGGCACAGATCTTGATGTTATGTTTGGGAACCCATATTGGTCCTTCCACACCATCTGGAAAGACAGAAGCATACCCTCGTCCCCAGGTCAGCAATCTATCTAGCCCAAACCAATGATTGGTTTTTGGGTCATTTCGCGTGACTCTTTTTTGAGTCTTTTGTTCCTCATCCTTATTTCCTTTGTTTAGTCTAAAATGTTTTTCAGCTGGGCTACAGCCTCCTCTATCAGGAGTAAGAAAATTTAAAGCATATACTGCTTGAGCCATTGTCTTTGTGGCCGTCCCCTTGCTTCTCCAAGAACCCCTTTTGTTTTTGGAGAAGCATTTTTAAGGATCTATTTTTCCGTTCTACAATTGCTTGTCCCATTGGGTTATATGGGATCCCAGTGATGTGTTTTATATGAAATGTAAGACATAATGTACGAAATGGATGGGAAATATAAGCGGGACCATTATCAGTTTTTAGAATCTTAGGTACTCCTAAGATAGAGAAACAGTGAAGTATGTGGTCTATGACATTATTGACTGATTCTCCAGATTGTGCTGTAGCCATTGTGAAAGAAGAAAATGTGTCTACTGTTACATGAATATATTGTAACTTTGCAAAACTGCTATAATGTGTAACATCCATTTCCCAAATTTCCCCTGAATATTGTCCATGTGGATTAATAGCAAACTTGTATGGTGTAGGGGTGTAAGGTAAGCATTTAGAACAGGATTTTACTATTGTTTCTTTAACATTGTTGCAGATTGATGGAACCTATTATGTGATTCCCTTGCTTCTTCAACTGTTAACATAAGCAAGGTGGGTTTTGTGAGATTGTTCGCTACTCTATTCCCCTGTATTAAAGGTCGTGGAACGTCTGTATGTGAAGGTATATGAGTGCAGTATAATGGGAAAGTCCGTTCCCTAATAAGTTTTTGTAACATCACAAGCAGTTGCATTATGGGATAGTTAGATGATACTTTTATTTGGGTCATTTCTATGTTGTTGACCATTCCTACAGCATACTTGCTGTCTGAAAATATGTTAAGGGGGGCCCAGACATCTTTGTAACACTAATATTATAGCATATATTTCATTTTGCTGAGTAGCGTTGAATGGTGTATGGGCTACATACCTTTCATCGGGGGGAATAAAATATGTGGATATATGATTAGATGAAGCTTGGTGAAAACTGAAAGTGCTCTTACTAGTGGGTTCCTTTTAACTATTTTATTAATAATCCACTGGTGTTTTCTAGCAAACTGTAAAATGGGGTATTTGTACACATTGTCTATCTCTCCCTGAAATGTAGCAATTAGTACCTGCCATGAATGGTCTTGACTTAGTAATTCTTCTATTTGTTTTTTTTTTCATAAGGCTGATGTATTGAAGTGGGGATGTATCCCACTAACTGAAGTACTCTCTTGCCCTTTTAGCTAGTTCTGCTAACATGGAAGGATATGTTTGGAGAGTGTATTTTGGTTGTGACGGCCAGAACACCCATTCTAGCAAATTGTTTTTCTGATGAATACACCCAAAAGGTATTTCTGGGATATCTAATATAGTGACTTTTATAGGCAATTTGTGTTCTATTCTACAGTCCATAGCAGCCTGTAGTGATTCTTCTATCCTTTCTAATTGTTGTTTAGCTCGTTCTGTTAGTGTACGGGCTGAAGTTGGATGAGGATCACCCCTAAGAATGTCATACAAATCCTTCAATTCATGAGTTCCTATCTTTAAATAAGGCCTAACCCAATTAATGTCTCCTAAGAGCTTTTGGAAATCATTCAAAGTTTTGAGCTGATCTTTTCTTATATCTTATATTTTGAGGCTGGACCTCTCTTTTTCCTACTATCTGTCCTAAATATGAATATAGGGTGCTCTTTGAATCTTTTCTGGTGCTATCTCCAACCCCTGATCCCATAAAGCCTTAAACATATCATCCATTATGAATGCTAGCCTTTCTTCTTGAGAGTGGGCACAAAGGATTTCATCCATACAATGGGTTATATATGCCCTTGGATACCTCTTTCTAATGAGATCTATAGTATCTGCCACATGTTGTTGACACATAGTGGGACTATTTTTCATCCCCTGGGGAAGTACTTTCCACTGATATCTTTGATGAGGTTGCTTCAAATTTTCTGAAGGCAATGAAAATGCAAAGTATTTACAATCCTCTTGCCTAAGGGATATGGTATAGAAACAGTCTTTCAAGTCTATTACCCATAGAGGCCATTCTGCAGGAATTGCGATTGGTGAAGGCAATCCTGGTTGTAACGCTCCCATCGTTTCCATGTGGGCATTAACCTGTCTGAGATCTGTCAACATCCTCCACTTTCCTGATTTCTTTTTAATGGCAAATATTGGAGAGTTCCATGGACTCATGGAAGGTTCTATATGTCCTGCCGCTAATTGTTCTTTCACTGTATTTTGAAGAGCCCTGATTTTTTCTAGATTAAGGGGCCACTGGTCCACCCATATGGGGGGCCCTGCTTTCCAAGTTATCTTAGGCACCTGTACTGTTCTTTTTTCTTTGGCCGTGACCCCTACTAAAATTTTTTGCTGTTTATGGTGACATTGATGTGTTTCAGCAAATCCCTTCCCCAAAGACAGCATGGAATGTGTGGTAATACATATGGCCTGAATTTTCCTTGATGGCCTTCCACCTTCCAAGTGAGCCATGCCGCGCTCTGTGAGGGTGCAGCTATTTCTCCTATTCCCTGCAATACCACATTCCCTTGGTCCAACGGCCACTCTCTGGGCCAGGCTCGTAGACCAATGACTGATTTGTCAGCCCCAGTGTCTCTCAGTCCTTCAAATTCCTTTCCTTGCACTTCTGTTTTTAATATTGGTCGGGCATCCGTGATGGTCCTATGCCAAAACATTCCTGTACTTCCAAACCCTTCTGTTCGTATTGTTTTTTTCACTCTTTCCTAATTTTTTGTAATCCATTATAATCATTTGTGCTATTCTTTCCCCCTTTTTAATTAAAATTTGGCAGCGAGGAAAAGCATACATCATGACTTTCATTTCCCCAGTATAATCAGAATCCACCACCCCAGGGATCACCATGAGGCCCCGAAGCATTTGTGAACTTCTTCCCAATATAAGCCCTACTGTTCCTGGAGGGGAGTGGTCCATATACACCTGTAGGAATGCAAGCTACTTCATTACCAATCCCTTTATGTATTATTGAACTTAAATCCAGTCCTGCGCTGCCGGGGGTAGCATGTATAAGGTCTATTACTGTGTTTATTGTGGAGCTGGAGCAGGCCTGGGTTGTATAAGTGAGAGCTTGGCTCCTATTGTTTGCTGGGGCTGGAGCGAACCCCGCTCGGGGTTTAAAGGCTGAGCATTGATATCTGTTGAGGATCTACATTGGGATGCCCAGTGATTGCCTCGATGACACCTTGGACAGGGTGTGGTAGGAGAATGCTGTAATGTCTTTTTAGGTGCTCTACATTCGTTTTTCATATGACCTGGCTTCCCACAATTAAAACATTTCAGTGTTCGTTGACCTTTCTGATTATTTTTAAATGCTGCTGCCATTACTTGAGCTTGAAAGTGTGTGGTTCCTACATCCTAACATCTTTGAATCATCTCTGTAATAGTCATATTTGCCTTTCCACCCTGCAGGGCTTTTTGACAATCGGTGTTAGCATTTTCTTTAGCTAATTTCTGTAGGAGTATTTGTGCTGCACTGGAATCAGAAGCATTGCTTTGTATGGCCTGTGTTAGACAAGCTAAAAAATCTTGGGGACCCTGTTTTATTTTAGTGAAGGAAGTTCCCATATCCTGTTTTCCAGGTACTTTTAGCCATGCCACTCGTGCTTTCATAATTTGTTCATATGCTACGAGTGGAAACTGTAATTGTTCTTGCAATTCTATATATCTCCCTGTCCCTGTCAATTGTTCCATAGAGACAGGAATCCCTGTCCTAGTATTACATTTTTCTTATTCTTGACACTGCTGAAAATATTCTGATTTCCAGACTAAATAATCTCCTGGATCCAGGCATGTCTTCGCTAACAAATACCAAGCTTGCGGAGCCAGAGCCGTGTTGGATATTGAATCTAGTAATGCATGCACATATGGACTATTTGGTCCATACTCCACTGATGACTGTTTTAATTCCTTCAATATTTTTAACTCAAAATTCCTATGTTCTCTAATCATTAAACCTGGATTATTCGGATCTTCCATCTCATATACAGGAAATATCATGCCTTTTGGAATGGCCAGTTTTAATTCCATAGGTACCTCTTCCCCTTTCTCCTCTGCTCTTTTTATTGCCTCTTCTAATAGTCCTTTACACTGTGTTCTCTTGCCTTTCTGATTTTTATGGGGATTTTCCTCTTTATCCTTTTCCTCTTTACAGGAACCTGATCTATAAGAAGGTGGGGACCTTAGTGGAGCCGAGGGTGCAATAGGTTCTGTATACATATCTTCCTCATCATCTTCCACAATTCTAAGCTGCTCATCAAATACCTTATTCATCTCTTCTTCCTCCTCTGTTCCTGCCCCTACATCTAACCTGAGTACTTTTGTTGCTAATGGTACATTCTCTGAGGGCGAGACATATTTTCAACACATTCCAAATCGAAAATGTAGCTATAGAGAACGCACCTGGACCTACTTCCCTATAGTATTCACTCATTTGTCTGCCCACCGTCTCCCACTTTTCTAAGTCTATCATTCCTTCTTGTGGGAACCATGGGCAGCATGTTTCTACACACTCTAAAAATTCCTGTAACTGACTGCTTGTGATGAGTAGACCCCTTTCCTTCACTATTTTATTTAAAAGTCATAGATGATATTCTCTATTTTTGCTACCACTTTGTGTTTGGCCCATACTTTCGATTCTAAGCATGCCTCTCAAAACCGAAAGTATGTGCACGTGGCCGCTCCAAAGCGACTCTATTTTCTTATGCTTGTAATACCGAGCCTCTTTTTTCTCTACTTTCCCTATAACTCACTTCGTCTGGTGACCCCTTTTAGCCCTAAGACTGCTAAAAGATTGTATTTTATGACCGTGGCGCTTTTACCTTGTTTGCACAGCATCAAGGTTTTTCTTTTCTTCTCCAGAGTCCCAGGTCCCTGTTCGGGCGCCACTTGTTGCAAGTGAGGCATCTCACGGGAGAGCACGAAATGAAGAAACATGGGCCAGGCGGGTCAGTGATGACTGAGCAGTTTATTCATCTGAGGGTCACAGTATATATAGGCAAAATTACATAGTTTCAAAGAATCATTCCTGTGGGACACTCCCTATACCCTAGCCCTAATATGTGACTGCTATTGTTATCAGGGTTCCTGCCTGTTATCAGGGTTCAAGGATCGGTCAGAATGTTTTGAGAACCTCTCCTTGCATGGGAGAATGGTGAGCCAACATCCTGAGAATGTGAGCCTTTGAGGGCAAGAACAGGCAAGAGTTAAACTCTGTCCTGGATTCTTCAGCCCAAATTGGACTCCTCAGAGCTGGCCCTCTACTAGGGAAACAACATGACCAGTAAAAATATTTACATTTGTTACAGTTATATTCCATCCCACCACAAGGAGGGGAGGCATAAGAAGAATCAATGGCATCTGGTGATTACTAGGAGAACTGAATTTCTGAACTTAGTACAGGCCTTCAGAATTTCTGAATTAAGTTTAGAGACAAAGAAACTTGGCTTGGGCAATTTCACAACATATTGAGGGTGATAACAGAATGGTTTCAGTTACAAAATGGGATCAGAATGATTTGGTTTTCTCAGTTCCCCTTTTGCCAATGGGAGATCTGTCACAATTTTTCCTGACCAGTCAACGTAAGGACAACAAGATTGACTAAGCAAGTACAAGCCGTAGTAAGAATATCTAAAGCCAGGGCAGCTAGAGCACCGGCCCTGGTTTCAGGAAGACCTAAGTTCAAATCTGACCTCAAACACTTGATAGTTACTAGCTATGTGACCCTGGGCAAGTCAGTCCACTCCATTGCCTCACCAAAAAAAAAAAAAGAATATTTAAGTCATGGACTAATTTTAGAGGGAAAATTTACGTGACACCAAGATAGCCGAGAGAACAGATAGAGTGAAACAAAAAAAATATAGTACGTCAATATTAGCTAACATCAAGTCTTTCTATATTTTAGTAACCTACTGCCAATGTCTGTTTAATCAGCAAATTTCATCTTGGATCTCAGATGTCACATGTAGTTGTCTGGTCTCTGGAAACATTTATTCATAGACATTGTGGGATAGGTCTCCTCTTTAATAGTTTTGCTTCTCTGGTTCCAAGTTACTTACAGAGACTCCTTAGATGTTCCTGCTAAAATCTTATACAAAATAGACCTCAATACAAATTAGTACAGCCTTTAAAATTTCACTTCTCCAGTAACTAATACGTGTGGTGAAAATCAGTTCAAACCTTATAGTTCTGACCTTATTAATTGTGATAGACCCTCCGTTAGGGCCCCAGGCCACCACGCCCCGGGCCCTCTGGCTCAGCTTCCCCTAACAGTTGTTGCAACATCCTGGGTGAGATCCTCTAGCATACATCCTGTAAGTTGGGGTGCAACATCCTGTTCTGTAAATAACCTGATCTGTCTTCCCGGCACACCACTGGACCCTGTTATGTAACCTGACAGTATAAATATTTCAGATCAAACCCTCGGTGGGGCGGCCCCTGGGATGCACGCCTGGGGTCCGTCGCCGGCTGGCTCAAATAAACGCGCTCTCAATTAATGTCAATTGGGTGTAATGCTCTGATTTCTCTCGGGCGTCCAGTTCACTTGGAGGTTCCACCGAGATTGCCTTTTGGGCCAGCTGCTTCGGCGTGGCTGGAAGGCCGGGGTGGGACGTGTTCAGGGGATGGCCACCGGGAAGATGTGCCCCGGCCCCGAACACTGACTTATCCCACGTGAACCAGCCCGCCCGTATTTTTCCTCTAAATTTCTTAATTGGGCACCGAGCGCTCTGGTCTCAGTCTGATCGGTGAGTACTCAACGGAAGTAAGTGGCCTGGCTGGACGCAGCTGTAACGCCCTTACTGACCTCCACAGGACGCCTTGTGAGAGTCCTGATTATCTGTAGTCTGGCGCCGCATGTTAATGTCTGGAGTGTTGTCTTAACTGTTTATGTCTGTCTTATATGTTTTATCCGTCTGTGATTGTCCTAATTGTTCGCCTCTTCCCATCCGTGATGGGTCAGGGGCCGTCAAGCCCCACACCGGGGACCCCTCTCTCAATTGTCCTACAGAATTTCAAACAGTTTCGGCGTATTGCCAAGGGATATGGGTTTCAGGTTACCAAAGAAAATTTGTCCACTTTTTGTCAACAAGAATGGCCTACATTTGGGGTTGGGTGGCCCCCGGAAGGGACATTTGATGTGACCATTACTGGGAGGGTCAGGAAGATTGCTTATGGGACCCCTGGCCATCCCGATCAGATCCCATATATAACTGCATGGCTAGATTTTAAACCCCCATCAAAGCCACTCCGGGTTCAAGCTTTGTCCAAAGTCGGGGTGCACTCGGGGCCAACATCCGGCCAAAAGGTTCCCGGGACTACGCAAGTAGGAGCCAAGGTCTTACCCCCTTCCGATTCAGACCCCCTGGACCTGGCTGAGCCTCGACCCCCACCATATCCTGTTCGGGGGTCGAGCCACCCTTCGGCCCCACCTCTGACAAGTCCTCCTCATACTCGAGCAGGGACGCCTTACGGCTCCTCCGGGTCCGGGTTTTCCCCCAACTCCACTGTATCTGCCTTTCCCCTGCGACAGGTCCCCACGGCCCCCGGGGAGTCGGGGAGACCCTTCATGGTCTATGTCCCCTTTTCAACCAGTGATTTATACAATTGGAAACAACAGAATCCGTCCTTTTCGGACAAGCCCCAAAGTCTGATTTCCCTTTTGGAGACAGTCTTCTATACACATCAGCCTACTTGGGATGACTGTCAGCAGCTCCTGCGGGTTCTTTTCACCACTGAGGAGCGTGATAAGATCATATTGGAAGCCAGGAAAAGGGTTATGGACCCCGACGGCCGTCCCTCAACTGATCCGGGCCGCCGGAATCATGTTTTTCCCGAAAGTCGCCCTGACTGGGACCCAAATTCTGATCGGAGGCAAGAGGCTTTGGACAGGTATCGCCAGTTACTGTTAGGGGGGTTGAGGGCAGCAGCGCAGAAACCCACCAATATGTCTAAGGTTAGTGAGATCAGGCAAGGGAAAAGTGAATCTCCAGCTGCTTATTTGGAAAGATTGTATGAGGCCTACCGTACTTATACCCCCATTGACCCAGAGGATCCTAACAACCGGAGAGCAGTGGTGATAGACTTTGTGTCTAATTCGGCTCCTGACATCCGGCAAAAACTGCAAAAATTGGATGGATTCGAGGGATTCACCCTGCAGTCCGGACAAAGGCTGCTCTCGTGGGAACGTGTGTCAGCTATCCTGGGCATGCCGGCCCCAGCAACCCGCCGCGGGCTCCGTGAATTTTTGGGAATGGCCGGGTACTGCCGACTGTGGATCTTAGGATTTGCGGAAATCGCTAAACCACTGTATGAGGCACTGTCAGGTGAGCCTGCCAAGTTCCTGTGGGGACCAAGGCAGGAGGAGGCTTTTAACAAACTGCGCGGAGCGTTAGCTAGTACCCCTGCTCTTGCCCAGCCGGACCTGACTAAGCCGTTCCGCCTCTATGTCTCAGAATCTCGGGCAGTGGCCAAGGGAGTGCTAACCCAGCCTTTGGGGCCCTGGAATCGCCCAGTGGCCTATCTTTCCAAGCAGCTTGACTCGGTCGCTGCTGGGTGGCCTACATGTCTTCGAACCGTCGCGGCTGTCGCGACCCTGGTCAGGGAGGCAACAAAGCTGACCTTCGGCCAGCCCCTTGAGATTTCTGCATCTCACCACCTGGAGCAGTTGCTGCACACCCCTCCCACTCGGTGGATCTCTAATTCTCGTCTGACTCACTACCAGTCCCTCCTGTTAGATCCAACCCGCATAACCTTCTCTGCGCCCGTGACCTTGAACCCCGCTACGCTGCTTCCCAACTCCCCGCCAGCATCACCTCTGCATGATTGCCTGGACATTCTTGACGCCATCCACACCTCCCAGCCCGGCCTTACCGATGTACCTATGACCAGTCCTGACATGATCCTCTTCACAGATGGCAGCAGCTTCGTGGAGGATGGGATTCGGAGGGCCGGGGCCGCAGTGGTGACCCCGACCGAGACCCTCTGGGACGCAGCCCTGCCGCCTGGTTCTTCTGCCCAGCGGGCAGAGCTGGTTGCCTTGACGCAGGCACTCCGGCTCGTGAAGGGCAAGAGAGTCAATATCTACACTGACAGCAGGTATGCATTCGCGACTGTCCATGTTCACGGATTCGTATACCAGCAGCGCGGCCTGCTAACCTCAGCAGGAAAGGAGATCAGGAATAAGAGGCAGATTCAGGATCTCCTGGATGCTGTCTGGCTTCCCAAAGAGGTGGCAGTCATCCATGTCCCAGCTCACACCCGTGGGACGGACCCCCAGTCGCAGGGTAATGCAGCCGCAGATAGAGCCGCTCGTGCGGCCGCAAGGAGGGCGCCTCTCCCCGCCTTCGCTGTCCAGACGGAAAACTTATTGCCCGCACGACCTTCTTACCAGTCCGGCGATCCGGATGGCGTGCCTGAAAAGGGGGGATGGAGAAGACACCCGAACGGTCTGTTAATCCTGCCCAAAGCCCTCCTGCCCCCTCTATTGATGACCCTCCATGACCTCACCCATTTAGGCGGAACCAGGCTCTACGACCTGGTGAGTAGGCATTTCTACAGCCCAGGGATGAAACAGGCAGCTGAGGAGGCGGCCAGGAGATGCAGCACATGTGCAAAGATCAACCCCCGGCCGGCGATGAGAGTGCCGGCTGGTAGACCGCGGGGGACCTTCCCCGGGGATCACTGGGAAGTTGATTTCACCGATATGGGACCTGGACGGGGGGGGGGGGGGGGGGGTACCGATTCCTCCTTGTATTCACAGACACGTTCTCCGGGTGGCCAGAAGCGTTCCCAGTAAAAGCCGAAACCGCCACAGTAGTTGAAAAAAACTGTTCTTTGAAATCATTCCCAGATTCGGCTTGCCAGCTTCGATAGGGTCCGACAATGGGCCGTCATTCGTATCTGCAACAATTCAGAATTTATCCAAGATGCTGGGACTGAAGTGGAAGCTA